GCTAGCGCCCAACGCATTCGTGTCTTAGCATCTGTTATGATGACAGCATACTGGTGCTTATTGAATGATTCCGTTACTTTTCCCACTGTGTCAATAAAGACCTCATCGAGTGGCTTATTTGGAGTTGGTCTGGGCTCTCTAGATACAAAACGTTGCGCCTTGCTAAGATGGCAAGTTTCACAGGTGCTAAGGTCGCTCATATCTATACCTTCTAGTCCAAGCGAGCAGTCTGCCGTTTTCTTCAGAATCTTTTGACCTGTATGTCCAAGACGTTGGTGCCAGCGTTGTGCACTTGAAGTCTTCGGAACTCGTGCAACTCCTGGAGCAGCCACAGCATTAGGTTTCTCTGTGAGACTACACGGGTCTAGAGGATGAATGTATAGAACATCGTTTCTAGAAATGAGTCGTGCGACAGGTTTATCTGGCTGCCCATTCTGTTTCTGAACGAGCGTCGTATTGTTAAAGTCTGGAATTATATTTCCAAGTCTCTGTAGTCTAACGGCTGAGATAATGTTGCAGGATGAGTTTGGGGAGTACAGACAATCCTGAAGCTTGAGCTTCAAGCTTCCGATTCTTAAGTGCGCAGTGCCTTGATACTTGAGTGACATTTCTCCTATTGCTTGATCAAATTTAAATGGTCTAGAACGCTCACGAAGACTGACGAAATCTTGTTTAGAAGGTAAAAAATGGTGCGATGCACCTGTATCATATAGTGAAGGAATTTTATTGGAACTAAATGCACACATGGCAGCTATGGCAGTTCCTTCGGAGTCTGAGTCACTACTGCAATTGCCAGCAAGAGCTCGAGCTTTTCCTTTTCCTTTCCAATATTTGTGTCCCTGATAACTACGGCGTGGTCTAGCTAGCTCTGGATGCTGTTTAAAGCACTCCTTATTCTTGTGCTTGTGTCTACATCGCGTGCATGTGTCGTCTGGATCGTTTTTATCATCTATCTCGGCCTCAGCTGCTGGAGTTATTCGATGCGTTATTTGGGTCCTATTTGCAGCAACAGCTCTGAGCGATGACATCATAAATTCAAGGCTGGAGTACTTGTTGTCGCTTTCAAGAGCCTTTGAGTCTCTCCAATTATCTAACCATCCTACCCCTTTAGTGCCAAGTGTAAACAAAACTGCAGCCTGTCCTGGAAGAACCGCATATTCAGACTGTTCAGGATCCAAGATTGATGGTATAGAGACAAGAGCATCAGCTGCACTGTTTACACTCTGTAGGTTTGCTAAGAAGCGATCACAGTAGTCGTTTGCTGATCCAGCAAACCTTGTTTGGAGGAGTATTTCAAGGGCTGATGCATATGGTGCCGCTGCCGATTCTGATCGAGTTTTTGCCACATTCTCATATAATTGCTTAGCTGTATATTTTTCATATGTACGGGGACACACGCTATCGCTTAATCGATCAATTATAATGTTTCTAGCCTCGATTTCACCTATTTTCCATGCTGCTCTTTCTGCTCTATACTTTGCCACTAATTCCTGGTACTGCTGAGGTGTCTGCTCGGCACTCTTGACTGCTGGTGCCTGAGGAGCATTTGCTGGTTCTATTTCTTCGATGTCATGGAAAACATGTCCGAGAAGATTTCGCTTGGCAAGCTTTGCCTGAAGACTGCTATTCCACTTCGAGAAAGAGATGCCCTCACCTAGCACGTGTCTGCTATCCTTTCCCATATTTCTTAGATCACCACTGAGTCTTACTAAGTGCCGCAGTGGAAGAGCCCGGGCTCATAACCTGTTGTAATTAAGGTATGAGTAGGTATGAGATGTTGAATATTCTAGGGATAGTGCAGAGGGTGGATAACGATTATCAGAGCTTGACGATATGATGAATAGCTTGGTTATATTATTCTACATATCACAGTAGTAGATAGGACTTATATACACATATTTGGCACCCGCGATACAGTACATCACCGTCTATGCATGAAGTACTACAATCTTAATTCCAAGCAATACTATCCCACATTACTCTATGCCATTGTATAGAGCTGCGCCTCAATAGTCGATCGTAATAATAGCCATGTAGGGCTGTGCAGTACTCGCATAGATGTGTTGTATCCCTGGCACTTTGCAGAGATAAATTTAGAGTAAATGCAATAATCACATCACAACACAGGAGCATTCCATCGGCTCTCCTTGTCCACCCCAGCATCTCTCCTCCGCTGAGAATTAATACACTCAGAGGTTCCGTTTTCATCACGGTAAAGATGGTCCTCGACGAAGTAACGCGAGCGACCAAACCAGTTCCTTTTCTTGTTCGTCCTCACTGGACCAGCAAACCCGGGGCGCCATACCAGAACTGGCAAGCGCTCTTCCCTCGCGAATCCACGCCCAGACCTGGATTTCGCTTCTTCGATGACTCCGGAGCTTCAAAGCTCTTCCAACCTCGTCGAAAAATAGTTCAGTGCAATCGATATATTGGCCTCCATGCCTCACGCGGTTGCCCCCGCGCTCCAGCTTGCTGGAACTGCGGATCAAAATTGCATTCTGAAACGGAGTGCAAAGCCCTCACACGGTGTCGAAACTGTGGGGGACCTCATCGATCAGATTCGCGATTCTGCAAAGCCTGACCCAGCAAGATCGGCCCGGTGAAGAAAGAGCAGCTCACGATAATTCGCAAGTTCGAACAAAAAAGTCAAGCTCATCATGCTCGAGTCAAAGCTGCAGCCAAAATAGCCATTTAGGCGATTTACAGCTCGAAGAAGGATGTCTGTATGTCAGACGGATCGGGGTTTGGAATTCTGGAATCCGAAGAGGAGGTTTAATACTACGGCGATCTTCAGTGAAGTCGTCGAGGCTTCAACACATAAAGACCGGGACACCGGCTGGATAAATGGTGCCTGCGAGCATATCTTCTGCTCTAAGCAAAGGTTAGAAATTGTCACTCGGAAGATGTGACAGGAAAAGGAACGGGCGAGAAGCGCGGGATCCGGGCCTAATTGGAATTTCTTACAAATTTGATTTTAGGTTTTGATCTTAGTTTCGCTGTTAACACCATTAATTATGTGGAAGTTCACGCGGTTGGAATGAGTTGGGCCTGTATACAACGATTCTTATCGGCGCGTGGAGCACAAATCTGGGAGATAGCTCTTTGGGACGGACGTGAGAGGGATCGGGACAAGTTTACTAGATGATGCAAAAGAGGGATACGTTTTCGACGGGCGTGAAATTTCCAATTTTGGCAAGAGTTTTACGAATTGAGCTTTATGCGCGCCAAAACTTCACTTGCGAGAGTGCAGCTGTCACTATAAATACAAGCAAACGATGGAAGGTGTTGTGATCCGCCTCCTGGTGATGTTCTCTGGTATAGTTTGAGTAGCCTGGGCACCTACTCCACTTGGGAAGGAGACGCCTTAGACCATATTTCGCGCGGAGAAAAGTTGGAAGATGACGGAGGCATGTCTGGATAACTCGGGGTTTTTGAGACGTTCCCCTGGGTGGGTATTCACGGATGAGGGTTGACTTGGGGTGAAGAAAAAGCCACCATAACTTGGGAGTGGTACTTGCAAATGAAATCTGAGGCATGAGTGCTCCTCTTGTAAATTGAGTCAACCTTTCTGTACTTTTCTTTGATATTGTGTCATAGCTAGATAGCTGCATACGCAATCAAAATCTGATACAAAAAAAGATCCTTACCGGCTCCACAGGTCCTGAGCCAATCGTAGGATGTAGAGTTTTTTACTTTAGCTCAGGACTTTTAAAATTCAACAATAACATAAGATAACCATCTAAACGACCCTGGTAAATATGTCACACACGGATCAATTATCTTCCAGAAAAACAATACTTAGGTAATTTTTAATATAAGAACCCCGTCGGAATCGCTGTGAGCGTGTATTGAATCGACCAATGACTCTTATCATAATTCGCACGGTCCATCATAAGCAGGGTAAGCCCTCAGTTGCAAGGATTTGGTTTGCTACCATGTCTTATTTTTTCAATTTTCACGCGATATTCAAATTCACGTTTTCACAGTCATGGTTGGCATCATAATACTTAAGATCCATTCTGCCTAGATTTGGAGATGCGTGCTAAAAATCTTTGCAAAGCAAGTCGTAGAAATAGCTAGGGCCCAGGGAGTGCAGACTCAAAATTATAATATATTGTGAATATTATAGTGTATTACATATGGTGTGTAAGTTCTCTTATGCGCCATAGTAATCTAAGATATGTTGAGTTTGGCTTCCCGAGTCGTGGAGTAGCAGGAACCAAGACACCAGGGCAGTAAGCACTGGCGTTCACCCCTCTAGACAATTTAGTATGCACCGCGGGTCTGGGCTTCAGCACAGCGCTCTAATGGACGTTAAATAGAAAAAAACAATTAAACTTAAGAACAATTAAAGTTGATAAAGTGGGTCGTTCAAATCAACTATCTTGAGTTCATCAGATAGAAATATTCGCTCTGTATAGAACTGTGGGAACGCTTTCTGTAGTCATAAACTAGTAATCCCATTGGAATAAGATAATTATAGCTCTCTTCCCATAAATCAATGTAGCCCTTGAATTCGCTTCACGACGAGAAGAATGAGAGTAATTATTTGCTAAAGTTGTGTCGATACTTCGAAGCATTTTTTGATAAATAACCATCAAAATATGAATTTTATTCGCTGACCGAACATCCTCAACAATCAATTTTTATTCTTAAATGACATGTTCAAGACGTAGGTGGGGTCTACAGTCGAACGATGGTAGGCCGAACATCTGGCCTTACCATAGCATGGGATGGTTTGCTTAAAATAGATACTCCGGGGGAATCAGAGAGCACCTTCGCGAAGCTTGTAGAATCGTAGCCACCAACAAAAGTTTCGAGAACATAACGCCCCGCTAACGACATCCACAAACTTCACTTGCACGCTCACGACACTGCCGTTATTTCTATACGAAAATTAATTGTTGATATTCGAGACCGTCCGGTCAATTGGAAAATGAGTGGTAAGAAACTAGAAATCTATTTTTGAATGCTTAGCGGTACTCGGTGACTAATAAATTTTTGCAGTAATCGGAGTAGATTTTGGTACCGCAGGTACTGTTATAGCTGTCGCTCGAAACCGGGGTGTCGACGTGGTATGATTATCAACTTATGAGCTTAGACTGCTTCATCTAACAACAACCTAGATCACCAATGAAGTCTCTAACCGTTCAACACCGTATTTATCAACTACTCAAAGAAAAATTTTAATACTAACAGAAAATTAGGTCATTGGTTGGCTTTGGGCCCAAATCTCGATACCTTGGAGAGTCAGCTAAAACGCAAGAAATATCCAACCTCAAAAACACCGTCGCCTCACTGAAGCGACTTGCTGGTCGTTGCTTAAACGATCCTGATATCCAGATTGAACAGAACTTTATATCAGCACCCCTTGTGGACATCAATGGACAAGTTGGAGCAGAAGTTACTTACCTCAACCGGAAAGAAAGATTTACTTCCACGCAACTTATATCTATGTTTCTCAGCAAAATAAAAGCAACAGCTTCCGCAGAGCTTAAGTTACCTGTTTCTGATCTAGTGATGAGCGTGCCTGCTTGGTTCACTGATGCTCAGCGAAGAAGTTTGATGGATGCTGCAGAAATTGCTGGCTTAAAGCTTCTTCGATTAATGAATGACACTACTGCCGCAGCTCTAGGATACGGAATAACAAAGCTGGATCTTCCAACCGCAGAGGAAAAGCCAAGGCGTGTAGCTTTTATCGATATTGGCCACTCTAACTACACTTGCTCAATTGTCGAATTCAAAAAAGGGGAATTGACCGTAAAATCTACTGCATACGATCGTCACTTTGGAGGGCGTGACTTTGATAGAGCTCTTGTGGAACATCTAGCCACTGAGTTCAAGGAGAGTTACAAAATAGATATTAAATCTAACGCGAAGGCTATGGTTCGCGTCAATGCCGCTGCGGAAAAATTGAAAAAGATACTCTCAGCGAATCAACAAGCCCCTTTAAACATCGAGTCTTTAATGGATGATATTGACGTTGCCACCATGGTCACTCGTGAAGGGCTCGAGAAACTAGTTGAGCCACTACTTAACCGTGTGCATGTACCTCTTGAACAAGCATTAGCCGACGCTAAGCTCAAGATTGAGGACATAGATGTAATCGAGCTAGTTGGCGGCTGCACCCGTGTACCTGCTCTGAAGGAACGAATTCAGAAATTCTTCAACAAAACTCTCTCGTTTACGCTTAATCAGGATGAAGCTATTGCACGTGGCTGTGCCTTCAGCTGCGCCATTCTCTCCCCAGTATTTCGTGTCCGCGATTTCTCAATCCATGATATCGTCAACTACCCTATCGAATTTACTTGGGAAAAATCAACCGACATTCCCGATGAGGATACAAGTCTGACTGTTTTCAACCAAGGAAATGTGATGCCCTCAACTAAGATCTTAACTTTCTATCGTAAGGAACCTTTCAATCTAGAAGCCAAGTATGCGGCGCCTGAAAAACTCCCGGGTAAGACAAAACCATGGATCGGTAACTTTTCTGTAAAAGGTGTCAAAGCCGATGCTAAGGATGATTTCATGATTTGCAAGCTGAAAGCACGCCTCAATCTACACGGGATATTGAACGTGGAGCAGGGTTACTTTGTAGAGGAAATTGAGGTTGAGGAGCCAATTCCTGAAGACCCGGAGAAGGAATCTGAAGTGAGTTTTGAACTTAATCCATTCCATGTTCGAAGTTCTTCGGAAGAACGTGCAGTGAAACGTGTCCGAACTGGACAACCCGTACTAACTTCAACAAAGGCGATGGATATCGAAGACAAGCCAAAGACTCGAAAAGTCAAGAGTCAAGTTCGTAAAGGAGAGCTTCCTATATCCTCTGCAACCTCTGGTCTCGATGATTCATCCAAATCAGCTTCTGCCGAACAAGAAGCTGCCATGATAATGGAAGATAAGCTTGTCAGCGACACAGAAGAAAAGAAGAATGAACTCGAAGCTTATATATACGAAATGAGGAATAAGCTTGATGACCAATACTCTGAGTTTGCCAGTGAAGAAGAAAAATTAAAACTCAATGAAAGACTTACTGCTACTGAGGTATGTGTATACTCCGATATTTCCTGACTTCTCGCTCATACCTCATCAGGATTGGTTATACGATGAGGGTGAAGATGCCACCAAAGCTACATACATCGCGAAAATGGACGAAATCCGAATGTTAGCTGGCCCTATTACCCAGCGCCACTTTGATAAGGTAGAAGAAGAACGTGCGGCTGCGCAGGCCATAGCTGATGCCGAGGCTGCAAAGAAACGAGAATTAGCTGAAGCTGCTAAAGCCGCAGCACTTGCTCAGGAGGCTGCGATGAGCAAGGATGAAGTCATGGCGGAGGCTGATTCATCTAAAAATAGTGAAGGTTTTGAAGCAGATAGCAAATAAGAAACTCAATGTCCATAATGATTTCATGATAGGTTGGAGCCTGAACTGCTGATAAGGACTAAAAATGGGGGCTATGCTGGTGGTATACTGGAGACTACAGCTCTTCATGGAAGGTTTTGCAGATTAACTAAGGATTAGATTTCTATAGATAACGAAAAGAAATGGTCAAACTTCAAGTTGTTAGGTCGCCACGCTGTTTACGCTATGATATTACGAAGACAAGAGAAATATGAATTGGTTGTAAGCTGTGATGACACTTTAAACCAGAGTTACTCTAGTTCCAGTGATAGGGACTATTCTCAACACCTGTTAGTGGTGTCCCCTACGAACCTCCAGCTCTCACTGTAGAGTTTGCAGAGCCGAGATTGAGTAACAAAGTCCTGACTACGACGAGGATTCCCAATCGCTTTTGCGGTCTGTATCGTCTTCATCTCTCAACACATTCTCCCCTATCACCACTATCATGAAGCTAACCACGATTAGATCAGATGGTAGGGTCGGAGCCCTACTCGTCACCAACCCTTGATCATGGAGGAAAAGCCATCCGATGAGTTTCCGGAGCGTACCCTGCACCCGATACGGAGATGGTGGATTGGATCAAGTCGACCTCGACTGTTGCAAAGAAGGAAGATATAGATGAATATGCGCACCTCATGTGGACCAGGTGTCTAGGCCTCGCCTGGCTGGGGCTCCAGGTTGTTTGATAATTATTCCCGCGCACACAGTTTCCATTGCTACTATTTTTTTTTGGGTAGAAGGTTTCGTGGAAAAGGTGGTCGAATTCAACGGGTAAACACTCAGCTGAGTGTGAGGTTTCTTGTGCACGTTAGTAAGAATAAAATGACAATTGTTGACTGTGAAATTCACGGATGTCTCGTGGCTCCGACTACGACAATCTATATGTGTGTAGAGCTTAAGACTAGGTGTAAACTTGTATTTCTGTTAACGTTCTAACTCCTCCTTAAATACATGAAATCCTCTATACTCTAGATAACGTAACGATCGATGATACATGACAAGTAAACTATCAAAGTACAGTAGGGGAGGAGTGATGTGCTCAGCCGCCCGAATTGTGACCAAAGAATGCGAGGGGTGCATTATTGATGGAACCTCAAACTCGGCGGCTCGCTTGCCGTGAGACTTGGCGTTTCGCTCGGACTTGGAATTCAGGATCCTCAAGTGGCTATTCATCAAGGGGAATATATCAATAATCTTTCAAGAAACAAAAGATGATAGGAGCACTGTACAAGGTGTGTCCTGGGCTAGAAAGGAGCCCAATGTGCTCGATTGTCATACACTCAAGTAGTACAATAAAACACACATACATTCGGGACTACTAATTATCTAGCCTAGTAGGATCGGCAAAGTGTATTCCAACACAGAGATAATAGAAAACTCAACAACCAAACCCTTCATCAACTCGAGAAATTCGAAAATTCAAAAATTCAGTTTTTCCCTCTTTCCTCCTCGACCTCGTCGCATCTATCTCTGAATTGTGATCGAGCTCAGGCATTCTCACTATGCCTCCAGTTCGCAAAAAGCGTCCCAACGCCAAGTTGGACAACACGAGAGTCCGCCCGAGGGCTCTCCAACAACTACCTGACCTTGCCCAGTCTCCGAAATGCGCGGAAATGAGCAACGTCTCTACCAAAGGGAAGGAAAAAGCCCTCCCCACCGTCACTGAGCCCGATACTGACATGATCGGGTCAGTCGAAATTATTGAGGAAATTCCTCAACCATCCTCCGTCCCCCACGGGATTGGAGAATCGTCAAAATCTCCCCCGACCGCGCCAAAACTGTCGGAGAACGCTGCACCCAAAGCAGCGTCAAAATCAACGTCGCAGCCCAAAGCTGCCACGAAAGCAGATTGCCCTCCGGAACTTCGACCCATTATCGAAGCCGAGCAACGACCTGCCGCCGAAACAGCGGCAAATCTGACCCTTTGCTCCGCCGCCATCTCTGGCGTCGAAGTCACCCTTCTTCCTTTGACCAACGGGTCAAACAGACAATTTGTAGACTCGATGAGAGTCTACCTACGCGCAGCCATCGCGCAATACATGGCCACGGGCCCGGCCACTACGCCACCCGTCCTCCCTCCTCGCCCGGCGAACCCGATCCCAAGGGCTCCCGACGTCAGGAGCACAACGATTTCCGCCGTCCCAGCGCTGCCTATAAAAAGCACCTGGGCCACGGTGGCCAGAAACGGACTGTCACAAAAAGCAGTCCCTACTGTTAAGGCTGTTCCGCGACCGGCGGCAAAAGCCCAAAATAAAGAAGCTCCGAAGGCTAAAGTCGACAAACGACTGTTCCTTCGCTTAGAGAGCGATCACCCATGGCGCCAGCTTTCGCCTGACGGCATAAGGCATCAATTATGTAGTAGGCTACTGTACACCTTGAGTGAAAAAAGCTCTATACACCGTGTCAGAACCGGGTTTGCGATTCTGACAGCGGATGAAAATGAAAGGGAAGAGCTCTTAGATGCCTCACCGAAGTTGTCGGACTTCAATGCCAAAATCGAGGAAGCCTCCAACCTTGTCGCCTTTCGGATCGCGAATGTTCCAGCGACTATAAAATTAATCAACCGTATTGAGACGGTCGATGCCGGTAGGATCTCACTGGAGATTTACCGCAAAACACAACGACGTTCATGCCAGGTGCGACCGCACGGCACATGTCGTCCTGGAGCGCCATACAGAAACTGGTATGCCCTTTTCAACCGGGACTCCGCCCCTCGTGCGGGCTTCCGAATCCTCGACGAGTCCGGAGCGGCTACAAAGATCCAGCCTCGTCGCCAAATTGAACAGTGCAAACGCTGTTTGGGCTTCCACGCCACCCGTGGTTGCTCCCGCGCTCCAGCCTGCTGGAACTGCGGATCAAACATGCACTCGGAAGCCGAGTGTAAGGCCCTCACAAAGTGTCGCAACTGTGGGGGACCCCACCGATCGGATTCTCGGGACTGCAAAGTTAGACCCAGAAAGTCTGGACCGGTGACCAAAGAGCAGCTCGCGTGGATCCGCCACATCGAACAAGGGGAGTTCGCGAAGGTGGCACGAGCACGAGCAACAGCAAAGAAGGCCGAAGAGGCAATCACCGCCGCTGCAAAGGACGTCTCGATGGCCGAGGCTACAGGTTTCGGAGTTCTGGAATTTGAAGAAGAAGTTTGAGGACACAGAAACCTCGACGATGTCCCTTTTGGGGCATATACTAACCAATAGCAGGATACCGGCTCGATAAAAAGTGCCTGCTATCTCATCTCTTGCTCTCAGCGGAGATTGAGTAAATTTGTCATTTGGAAGATGTGGCAGGAAAAGGAACGGGCGAGAAGCGCGGGATCCGGACCACATGAAAAATCTTGTAAATTTGATTTCAGTCTTTGGCTTTTAGTTTTGATTTTAGTTTTTGATTACAGTTTCTAAATTATAATTTACCTGCTACTTTTTCTGTAGCGGGTCACGCGGTTGGAATGAGTTGGGCCTGTAAGCAGTGATCCCCGCCGGCTCCACCAGTCTTGTACCGATAGTGGACCTAGAGCTTTAGCTTAGGACTTTAATTTAAAAAAAAAAAAAAAAAAAAACCCCCCTTAATCAATAAATACCATTAATTATCACCTGACTCATCTCTGTACTCCGTAATTTCAACATCTAGGACAATAAACACTCACTCACTCACCTTCATGGGCCTTAAGGCGCCAAATCAGGAGAATTGAATAATTTATTTATATACGACGTATCACGTGATCAAATCATCCACAGATACGTCTTTTTTTTTTGCATCGGATTTTAATGGCGTATGCAGCTATCTAGCTATGACACAATATCAGAGCTAGAATTCCTTAATATTCGTGTGAGAATCAATAAGATACCCCATTACCATTACCGTCCCCCTCAGACTCGCATACAATTACACTAATTCGAATTCTCACAGTAGCAAGACCCCGGATCTCCAACATGTCTCCGGGGCCTGCCAAATCATCGCGACCTATTCGCCATCAAAGAACAATTGATAGAGCGAATAACAGGCTGAAAAAGCGCTTGGCAAAAAAGAACATACCATGGAGCTCGATAGACGAGCGAAAAATGGAGTCGGAAATGACCGAAAGGATAAGAGCCTTTGAAGAAGATTCTAACTCCACAAACCCAGATGTTGAAATGGGTGATGCGGTTATCGACCGATATATCATGGAGGGGCTTGAGAGCTCACGATGGAATGTCAGTGAACCCGAAGACGGTCAGGTCTCAGAGGCGCCCGTTATTACAGACACGAGGAAGATTGCTGTGCCGGCCATGAAGCGGACAGCTAATGTTAACTTAATTTTAGACTCTACGAGTCAATTGAAAAATGTATGAAGTAAAAGTAAAAAGTGTCAATAAATTCCTGGCTGCCATTTCTCTTACTGATACTATCTAGATTATGTACGTCTAGAAAATGGCAAATGCTCTATGTGTCCCCAACTTGTCCCCATAGACCAAGCTTCTCATGGTTTGGAACCAAACATCTCTAGTCAGAACAGATAGAGTTCTTATTACTACAGCCCAAGCGAAACACCTTTTTTCGAAACAATTAACTCCAAGCTTTGTAAACCTAACTCCTTAAACTTTATATCTGACATTAATCGCCTTCAAACTATCCACAGTTTGATACACCCCCCCAGGGATATCTGAAATCAGTAAGAATGGAAGATATTCCTGGAAAATTAGAGAAAATGAAATTAATAGTTTCATGGAAACATAGAGCTAGTCTTATCCATGTGTTGGTCGTCAAGTTTTATCTCGCGCGTGGGGTCGATATAGTCGAATTTTGTCTAAAAGTCGAGTGGCTGTATAAAATGTGTAGTAATTGACACATAGCTTTGACGTTTGCAGAGCATAGTAAGAGTTATTTGGGCGCTGTTTTCCACATGATAAGTAAGATGAATTAATGCCAGGCAAGCTTCGAGTGTCGATATCATTTTGTTGTGTAGAAATACCTGTATGTAATTTTGTCGGGACCGGTTCTGCAGT